TGAAAGAATTATTAATATATATAAATATATTTGTATATCCCAAAATAAGAAACTTATCAAGTTTAAGGCTCTATACATACATTCTTTGTTGTAAGGTGTGGGTTTCCTGTATGACCAAACTTTGGCTTCATTATGTTTATTATGCAAGCAAACCAAAAAATTAAATGGTATTGACTGTTTTATTTATTCAGCAGAAAATTTAAAAAATTGGAGTGAAAAAGACATTTGTTTTACACAATTGTACATAACCCTTTTTGTTTTCTTCCTCAAAGTCCTTGTGGAACTGACAAATTAATCTTATAAATATTTGACCTTAACAAGAGGCAATTTGTTTCCTGGATAATAGTCCCTGCCACTGCACAAAATGAAAGATTAAATGGTTAAACATTAATAAACACCTAAAACTACAAGTCTATTCTTTTATAGCAAATTTATTTGACTGTAACCAATTAACTACACCAGAAGTTTCTATCATTAGCAGTTGGGTCATACATTTGCAATGATGGAAGTTCTAATCTTCCACAGTTGATAGGTTAAAGCCACATCCCAAGCAGAATAAATAGCAAAGCAAGCATTAAGAAATAAATATTAACTGAATTCCTGATCTTTAATTTTCAGCTGAGGATCATGGCTGTATGCTAATAAAATCTTTTTCCAACAGTTTTTTTTTTATTTTTAAAAGTGTGGTTATTTCAGGTGTAAGACATGAAGAAACCCGAGAATGTTATCAGGTGTGATAAAAAAAGAAAAAGAAAGTGGCTTCAAAATTACAGTATATACTAAAACATGACAAAAATAAAATGCTACAAAAACAACCTGACAGATAAGAAATAAAGAATGAATAAAAAATAAAATGAAAATTATTGCAAGTAGCAAAAAGCAAAAGTTAACAGTAATACCTCGATAGGCAGCTGATAGCAAATTAAGGAAGGTGTCTAATCTCAGGCTTTAAAGACACAATTACATGGAAGAATTAAAATGAAGAAATACAAACAATAAAATTAGCATTTGAATGTCATTGTGGGCATGAACAGCTCTTCTAAAAGCTTAAATGGCTTTTTAACAAAATGTGCGCATTAGCCAATCTTTATCTGGAATTAAGAGCTAAAAAAAAAAATATATATATATATATATATATATATATATATATATATATATATATATATATTTCCTAGATTTTCTTAGTAACATCGATAAAAAATAGTAGAAAATAATTGCTTATTCACTTCTGGACACTGTCAAATTAACCATAGCCAAATTGAAGGTATATGGGTTTGGGATTTTTCTTCAAGCATTCAATCTTGTAAGAATGTGATGGATTCTGTCTATTTAACACCCCCCATGGGATGTATGTGGCACAGTTTATTGTGGGTACTCCAAGCTGGTAAGCTCAGCCAAAAATATTCCCTTTGAACTTGCCTAAATGGGTTCAGGGAATGTCTACCTCCCCAGATGAAACTTTGCCCTGCGGCAAAGCTTCATCAGAGTTCCTCTCTGCTGAGGTAGAGAGTTTGACAGAAATGAACAGTCTGTGTTTCTCCTTGTAGGTTGGTTGGGCCTTTATATAACTTCCTGTTATTTGCTTGTCTTGGGAGTGTATATCCTAAGTTCATCTGTTGCTGCACTCACTGACATTGAGGTCACTTAGGTCAACCCTCATGATTTATAGGCTTTTTGGCATTCTGAGGTGACACAGAGTACAAAACATACTTTGGTATCTTTTAGGATAAACAATACATATTGAGGTCATGGCTGATCAACTCTTCTTAGATAGATATCCTGATGGATATCAAATTAAACTCAAATCTATAGTATTTCCTGGTGTGAATTGTGAACTATGTGTTTTTAAGGACTTTTTGGGAGAATTAAAACTTTATTAAAAAAAACAAAAAAACAAACTTCTACCTTCCAGAGACCTGTTCTTCAAATATGTTCATATAAAGTTTTAACCTAAAAATATTCCAAATGACTTCTTCGAAGAACGTGGACAATGAGTAGATTATCATTTAGTTTTAGTGAAGCTGGTTCAGGCATGTGGAAAAAGAAAAAAAAAATTATTTAACAGTAAGACTGGAGTATTTGAATTAGAGTAATAACTCACATGTGAGTTACATAAACCTTTAAGAAGTTCATTTCTCATTGGACACTCCATAAGTGTTGCTTTCTGTTCAGATTAAACTTATGCAAGAGATTTTCCAACAATTAGACTGTCCTTCAGGAACACGAGTGATCTTTAGGATTTCATGTAAATCTGAATTATTCAGTGAAAAGAAAAGTTTTTAAATCAGAAGCAAGAAAAAATATTAATTGAAAAATTGTTACAAATTCACCTACATAAAAGTTTATATAAATGTTGCAAATTTCAAACATTATGCCACAACCAAGATATATAGAGGGAGCTAGTCAAGTGCTCAGCAACTATGGCCATACCCAGTCATGAGACTGATGATGATATTTTAGATAATTTAGATGTGTTTCCTTCTAGGCCCAAAGGGTTGGCAAGCTGTGCAGGAGGACTAGTCAACCCAACCTGTTGGATTTTATTCCAAAATCAAAACTAAGAGTTACTGAAAAAAAATCTTCTTTTGATGGTAGTAATGGGGGGGTGCATTATATGATAATAAGTATGGTACTTGCTGATTTATTTCTTTGATTCTAGTACAAGTAGATCTCAAAAAATATTTTTTAAAAATGTGTTTAATTGTTATTGAAAGGAGACCAAATTCTGCATTTTATATCCAAACAGTTTTTATTTGTTACATGCAAAACCAAGGTTACCTACATCTAGCTTAAAATGAGAACTTGCAGGTTCAGTTCAGCAATACAGTATGAGACTAATATTATACTAACAAAATTTATTATAAATGCACATAAAAAGGAAAAACTGTTTAAAAATAAAGCACTAAGTGGCATTTCATGTCCCCTTGAGGTTAGTTATCTTTTAAAAAAAAAAAAATGTTATGTCTAAGTGTTTCCAACTCTGATGGAAATGTCATAACCTTTGATTTGATAAATATAAAAAAAAAATTCAAACAAACACTTTAGGGTTTCTATATACATACTTGCAAGAAAACTGCTGTATTGGCCAACTTCCATTTATATTCAATTGCATCATAAACAACAGATAACGGCTTCAACTAAGTTTCAAGGGAAAACAGATATACTTAGTTCTTCAGTGACGCATATGATTACAATGCAAATACAGGTCACTGATGGGGTGGGATATGGAGGGAAAGAGAACTCATTCTGAGTGTGGAGAGAGATATGACTGGCCCCTGTCAAAAAATGACAATGGCTATGACAACATTCTTCACAGTTATTATAACTTGAAAGTAAGATAGTTTTTGGAGAGTGGTTGAAATAATGGTTCACTCACTCAGTTTAAGAGATAGCATGCCAGTAATATGAGATTTTGTCAAGGTATGAGAGAAAGCATAGGGAGTAATAGATCCATATCCCCCCCTCCATAAAAGCCATTAGCACTAAGTGCATAGAAGCAGTCATAGCAAAAAATTTGACCCATTTATAAATTCTTTCACCTTTTTTTGCTGATAAAGCCTTATAAAATAAGCTGGATACTAACAAAGCAAATATATCATTCATTATATTTTATTATATTTTTATAGGTTCTACTGAAACTCCCAGGTTAGATGTCCCATTGTTATGAACTCATTACTGGATTATTATTTACAGCTATCATGCTGTCTTTAAAGAACTGACAATTTGATTCTCACTGAATGCAGTCTTTTAGTCAAAATAGACCTTGTCTACTTTGGATGGTACAAAGCTAAGTATATTAAGACTTGTATATTGCTAGGTGTGAAATTATTCCTCACCGAGTGGTGCGAGTTGGCCAAACGATGCATCTTAAATGTCTTGTACATTTCGTGATATTAAATCTTTATCTAGTTAAGTTGGCCAGAACACTTAGGTCTCCCATGTTTATCATAAAAATAAGAAATACTTTTATTGTTGGCACATAAGACAAGGTAAATCTTGTATAGAAAAAGAGAAACAATTCTGACAAATAGAAATTAAAATAAAAATATGATCTAAAAGTAAACAGTAGCATAATTGTTCTTTTATATTCATGTTTTAAGCTATACAAAGGATGCCAAAAAGTTCTGTCTAATCAGGAACCCCTTCAGACAAAAAAAAAATATTTAGGCAGATTTCAGTTGAGACTGAGAACTTTTTAGCACCTGCTTGTATGTAAGCTTAGAACTAACCAATAAATATTACTTATTTGGAAATAATATTTTCAAATATAACTGAAGTAACTCTTTAATATGAGAATTTTTTTTTTTTTAATTTCAATTTGATTTTTCAATCTGGTTTATATTGTGAGGGACAAACTGATTGACAAACTAAGATTGTTTCACTTTCCAAAGAAAATGAAAAGTTAAATTTGAAAATCTCTATATATTGCTTCTCCATCTACCACAATAATACATCTGTTGATTTCTGTGGACAGATCTATACATTATGTGCTATGTTCATCCAAAGATTGAGCTAGTTACATCATAAATATCCACCTTGAACAGAAAGAACTTCATTCTTTCCTGTGTTTAATTTCTCAGGGTCTAATTCCAGTACTGCTTCTCTGGATTTATCTATTAAACTCAAAAGATACAGATATGGTTTTACTTTTGATTTTTCTATTTGAACCTGGTATCTGTCTAGATTTTCCAATATTTATTTTTCAACCAGAATTAAAAAAAAAAAAACAAACAAAAAACTGCAGTTTGGAAAGAAAACTAAAATATGAAGTGCTTCAAGTTTCTACAAATACATCTGCAAGAGAAAATGAGACAATATAAAAATGTTACAAAATAGGAATTTAAAAAGTTTATTTTGCATATCGAGGTATTTCTGCAAATCAAATAAAATTTGTTTAAGAGTCTTGAGTGATGGCAGCAGCAAAAATGACAACAGCAGCAAGCAGTCAATGTCAGAAGCAAACCTACCTTTACAATGATGGCGCCAAGCAAATTCTGTTATTATCTGAAGTGATAAGGGGTTGGCATTATGGCTATGCCATAAAATGAAAATGAAGTTCCGCAAAAATATTTTAAAAAGAGCAAAATCATCATTCTTTGGTGACAAAAATAAAGTTGATATTTTCAAAAAATTTGAGCAAATTTTGACAATATTAAGGAGAATGAAGTGGTGGTAAGGACTGTTATAAGACAAATATAACAGAAGGAAAATAGTGTCTCATACAAGTAAATTTTGTTGCATTATGATATATCTATTTAAAAAGTGGCTGAAGCAACAACAGCATAACTTTAATAAATCATTTAAATTTTTTTTTCCATCAATGAATTTGAACAGAAATAGAAACACTAAACTTTCTCACATTATCTTGACATTATTTATTTGAAACCTTTTTAATGCGTGGAAGTAAAACAAAATGTTGGTAATTGTTTGTAAATTCTGAATTTGATTATATATTGAAACAACCATGTGACTTCATGGTTAGCATTCAAGAATCTGTTCAATTTCAACCATCATCAAATTTATTAGATTTTTCATTTTAACTTTTGACAATTTCATTTTAATTTCAATTGTTTTTTATTTCAACTTTTCATATCATCAATCTATTATATTTAAGTTGCATGGAAGGTTTTTTTATTTTTATCTTTTAATTGTACTGCATGCTAATGAACATAGAATGATGGTCTGAGAAAGATGAAAGAAATTATAGTCAAGAATGAATAATATGAAGGTCACACTAAAAGTAATGCCTCCTATTTCATTACGTTAACCCACAATGTCAGAGGTCAATGTTGGTGATATGACAGTAGAATTTGAACCTGTATACCAATAACCCATCATTTTTTTGGGCCTCATTGCAGATAGCAGCTGAGTAGCAGTCTGGAAAAATAGCATCTGGCATGAAAGTGCAAACAAAACAGTGGTGTATTATTGGATTCCTTTATACAAAAAACAAACACTAGGTGGTAGATGTGTTTCAGCATTAACAACAGTGACTTGTGTCTGCTGGCATAGATTTAAAAAAAAAAAAAAAAAAAAGCACAGTATGCTGGCTCTTCTAATCATTGGCAAAAATTTATAGCCAATAATGGGGATTATGTGGAAAAATGTTTTATAACTGAAAACTTAATCTATCCAATGGTGTCATTGTGTTCTCTGAAGAATTTTTTTGTTCCTGTTTCTTAAATTTTTTGTCTTTCTTTTCCATTTCGTAAAGTCAAAAGTAATGCCATATCAAATTGGAATCTCCTGTACAAATAACTTTACAGCCACCCATCAGTTTGTTACATAGATATATTTTGCTTCAATTTTTAAAAAAATGTAATCAGGAGCCAATCACATTGAAATTTGATGTCATAGAATTAGTATTAAAAAAAAAAAAAACATTAAAAGAAATTTACCCAAATATAAGATTTAGAAAAGAATAAATCTTGTTTAAATCTTTTTGCATTCTAATTAAGATAAATTTATATCTAAAAGAAAGCAAGCAAGCTCATTATAAATAGTAAAGATAAGATACTCTTCAAAATACAACACAATAATGAATTCTGATGACAAAACTCTAGGTAGCTCCAAAGATTGACTTATATGAGCATACATAAAAAAAAAAAAAAAAAAAAAATAAAAAAAAATGCCCCAAACTTAATAAAAACAAAGTTTTATCAAAATCTTTCTTATCAGGAGGAAAGACCAAAGGACTTTTTTTTTTTTTTTTTTTTTTTGCATCTATTACCTCTCACTATTTAATTTTCATAAATTCATTTTTGTAGGATTTAATGTTTATACTAGGTATAAGGACTCCTCCTTGAAGAATTTAACTCATCAATTTTTTTTCTTTTGTAAAAGAGAACCCCAGTTACCAAATATCTGCTCTGAATCATAAAATAAAAAAAATAAAAAATGAAATAAACTAAAACATTATTTAATTAAAAGAAGCTTTTAATTGCTTTTATGAATATATTTTGGACACTATTGGCTTCAGAAAATTTTTTTTCATTTTTTTAAAAGTTAATTAGACTAAGTTATAGTTTTAAATCTTAAAAATTCTGTATTAATTTGTAGCAGTTAGGTGATATTGTTAAGTAAAAACTATATTTAATAATCATAAATGGAAAAGCTTACTACAATTCTTTGACTCCCGGTATTTTAAAAAAGAATTTTAAATTGTTTTTGAGCATGTATATAAACATGCTGATTTTTGTAAATACAGCTGTCCATACATAACATCAGAAAATAAGAGTGCTAACTATAGTAAATTTAAAGCCAAAGTACCTAAAATTCAATAAAACATTAGATTACTTAGAATATTTTCCTAAATTTTAAAAATTACCGGTTATTTAAAAATATATATATATATATATATATATATATATATGTATAAAGCACATTATAGTCATCAAATAATCCTTAGATATAGTCACCATAGACAAGATTTCCAACCATAAGTCTATTGAGATAGTTGTCAACACCTCATAAAAACACCCACCTTTGTGTTAAAAATGCTTTTCTTGAATATTTTAAACTAAAACTATTTGATTTATAATTACTCTTCCTCAAATAAAGTTTCAAAAAAGTAAATTTTATTTTTCAAAGATTTTTTTAATAGAGAGAATTACATTGTGCTGTAATAGTAAATATGGCTAAAATCAGCCATTTTTAGCAACCAAAAAAAGCAAAAAAACAAAGACAAAACAAACAACTTGTTCCAATCAATTTAAATTTGGTTTGAAATACAGCCAAGTATTTTGCTTATTGGGAATTAAATTTAATCTATTAGCTTAAAATTAAAACTAAAATAAAAGATTCAAGAAAGATTTTACATTTTTAAAAAATGCTTTTTAAACTTTACGTTTCACTTTTCTTTGGAGGTACCTACAATACTCTTAGTAATGGGAGATATTTATAAATTTGACTTTTTTTAAAATCATGAATTAAGTTTTTCCTATTTTTCATTTTATAATAAAAAAAAAAATCTACTAAATCTAAAAAGAATTGGTGTAAACAATTTAAGTAATCAAAAATAAAAAACAAAAAACTTTGAACACATTTCAAAGACTTTAAAATAATTACAAAACACTGTAAAGTTCAAAAATAAAAAAAGTATTTTTAACATCTCAGCTACAATTACATAAATTTCAAATGCCAAAATAATAAAATAATGATATTGGCTATAAAACTTACAGATTCCCAACAGAAATGTTTCAAGCATTTTTAACATAATTTGTTCCTTTTATTTAAATATAGTATTCAAACATTGGCTAGCTTATATATATATATATATATATATATATATATATATATAAATATCACACAGATGAAGACACACACAAAATATTTATGCTTCCTTTAAACATGCAGACAGAACCCAGGCAAATATATTCAATATGGACGTTAGCTAAGTTGGTATTGCTAACCAGAACACATTTTTAGATATATAATGATAATAGTTTGTCATTATACTTTTCTTTCATAAATAGGCAGTTTGAAAAATCACAAACAAAGTAATTTAACTTTACACAATTGGAATTTTTAGACTTGGTTTAACATCGATGTTGCTTTTGGTGTTCCTGTAAAAACCTGTTTTTCCTATGTAAGCTGTATACTAACCACTATTGTAAGAACCACTTGCAATTATAAATTTAAATAAATTCAAAGCTTGATTAAGTAGATAAAAGCAATAAACTAAAAAAAAAAAAAAAAAAAAAAATGATAATTTCTCCAAAGAAAATATTTTTTATAAAAATGCTATCAATATGGCATCAATAAAGCAATGGGTCTATGACTGACCTCGTTGGTCAACATGATGATCGTAAATGGGGAAAAAAGATTTGACTCAAGAGTTTTTATACCAAATACATTTTTCTGAGAATATTTTAAATTATTTATAAAGAAAAATAAATATCAAAAACATTGAAAAATAATCAAATAATTTTTCTGTGTACATATTCTAATATGTAAGCAAGCAATACTAAAATAGACGCTATGAAATATATGTTGATAAATTGGGACAAACACTTTGGAGTAATCTATTCATTTTCATGTGTTATGAATCAAATTTCAATCATTAACCAAACAGTAATTTTCAAATCATTTTTCATGTTGCTCTATTCTAAGTAAAAGACTAAAAATCAAAATAGGTGAATTTATGAATACTGTTCCCCTGTTCCATTAATCCTACAGTGGCCTATATATTGAATCTGTAAAATAAGTCATCTGAAGATTACTTGAGGCATGAAACTGCCAGTCAATATGGAATGTAAATCCTATGTCCACATTTTCTCTATCTAAATACTGTAAATATGAATTAACTTTCAAATATTTCAAAATATTACTACTTTATCCAAAAATATTATGAATAGAATTATTAGAATACCTTAAAAGTTTATACATGATTATAACTACTTGGCATTTTATTAAAGAATTTAAAAATCCAGTTGATGCAAACTTATGGAGACAAAATGTAAAAAACAGCATTTACATCATTTATTTTATTTTATAATTTTGTTGATAGGTAATTAAATGACAAAGTGGAAGCATTTCATCCTCTAAAAGGCTGTCATTGAAAGAAAATAATGTTCTAATTGATTATATATATATATATATATATATATATATATATATATATATATACACACACATACACAGAAGCGGGAAAGATAAATATAAAGACCAGATATAATTATGCACTGAAAGGAAATGCCGAAAAACTAAAAATGCTAAATTTTAAAATTTTTCATTTTAGAATTACTGGTGTCTGACATGTCTAGACATACAGCATAGCCAATCTCATTTGGTTTCCCAAAACTTTTGTTTTTAAAATATCCCATATTGTGACAACAAAAGATGGTGAAATGCTGTAAGAACCTGGACACAAATTTACCATGGGTGATGAGGGAAAATGTAAATATAAATCAGTAATTCAACACAAGAACAAGGTGTATGATGAAAATGAACCAAGGAAAAAATATACTATATAAAATAATAATAATGTGCACTATTGAAGACTA